AAGCATTTCCATTTACTACTGGAAAATCTGTCCTCTGATGCTCGTCCCAGTTGCTTATCTAAATGCTAATGATTTAGAAATGACATTGTGAACTCTTTTGAGTGATGATAAAGGAATCTCATTCCTTCAGTGGTGCAATACAAAGCCATTTTCCTGATTTTCTGAAGAATGAATGAAAATGAATCACTCTGATTTGGGATCAGATTTTGAATCTGTTTTAAATTTTCCTCTGAGGCTCAGTTTTGTTTTTAAAACGTCTTAACTGGAGCAGAAAGTCAAAAATCACACTATTATAATAGAGGTTTAATGGTGCAGGGCTTGCTTATAGGAAATTACTGGAGCCAGACCTTACCTGCAAGCTATCAGCATAGTAAAACGTGGCTATGTGTTGGTGAGTCGTTCTTCCCCATTGGCTCTTGAATGGGAGATCCTGTGGGGCAGCTTGTCTGGGATTGCCCTTCAGGATATTCAGGGATGTGCAAAGCATGCAGGCTGCTATTGGCTGGCCTGAAATCAATCTAAAAGTTAAACATGCAGAGATGATAATCCAAGTATCCCTTCTCTTTCTTTTCCCTAGCCATCCTGCGAAAGAAATGGTTATGGATGCCTCGGTGCAATTGGGTGTTATGGAAGCTGATCATACAGCTGGACTTATTCAGAACCTTAATGGCAAAGCCAGTTCATGGACTTTTGAGGAGTTTATTGACGTTGGGGTACATTCCAAGTCACCCAAACTGAGCTCGGACAGCATCTCTGCTGGTAACTGTAATCAAAACTTGAATGATGCTGCTACAATACCTTCTAGTCCCAAACTGGCTTTTGAGGAAGATGGTGCAGTGAATTCGTTGACCAAACCTATAGATGCTTCATCAGGTAATCCAAGCTGACTTCCCTCTCTTCCTCTGGCTAGGTAATTAACTTCCTTGCTTTTTACTCTCCTTGCCTTAACTACAGCTTCCTATTTTCAAGGCACTTTTTCCACTGTGTAGACTGGAGGGAAAGCTCTTTCTTTAGTGCTTGTAACTGGAACCCTGTCAAAAGGAGTCACCAACTGATGCCTTTTTAGGGACTTGGTCTAGACAGCAACTAAGGCCTGACATTAAGGCTCTTCCAAAGACACAGCTGAGCCCCTGTGAAGCTCCTGTATCTCCTACCAGCACTCAAGCCCATCTGTTGTATTTTAGGCTGTTTCTAAGGTATCTATCTTAAATGGCACATGTTACTTTTGAAGATACTAACAGTTTGAAAGGTGTCTGATGTAACTCTACAGACAAGACCTTTCCCCTCCTAGCCATGTTCTGTAACTTCATGATGCTGACCTGCATGGTCTTATAAAGGTCTCTGGCAAGGTATTAGCTGTCCTCTACTTACTGTAGAATAGCCTTTCCCCTCACTGAGGAGGGGTAACACCAACCTTAAATTCCACAGACGGTTGTGTTACGTTTTGGGAGGAGCAGTAAAGCTGCACACACAATAGTCTGGATTTTCCTGAAAGAAGCAGGGCTGTGTCCGAAGCCACATGTACTTGAGAAGCCAAACCCTGATGCAGTACAGCCTAACATGTCAGAGAGGCTTCAGCAAGCTAGTTCATGTAGGACTAAACTTGTCTGGTGTTGGAGCAAAAGCCCAAATGGACGTGCTCACAGCAGGAGGTCTCTTTGCAGGAGAGAAATGACTGTGTGGACAGTGGAAATGAATGGTAGCTGAAGAAGCAAGACTTGCTCTCCACATTTTCTTTCAGTGATGTGTAGCACTGGCTCTGATTAAAGTGTAGCACTTTTCTAGCCTGAACTGTTTCCTGAGTCTCCTCTGTCACTCTGCGTCTTGTCATCCCATGGGCACAGCCTTAGCGAGACTTCCCTTGAGGCCACGACTAACTGGATTCAATGTGATGCTGCTGATGGCATTTTGTTCTGATCAGTCATTAACTTCTTAGTAAAGAAAGCATTGCCTTTTAATGATGAACTTGAAAATGGTTAGCCATGATATGGTTTGATACATAATGCATATATGGAAAAGGAAAAGCTACTGCAGTGGTTTTGGGCTGTAAGTAACCAAGGGGCTCAGTGCTCACTGCCTGGCTGTAGCCTCTAACAGCGCTGATAGACCATGTGGCGTGCACACAGTTATGGTGGTTACATGTTTTCTTCTCTTTGCTCTTTGGACAGAACTGTGACCACACACTAGAGACCTGGAACTAACCTGATTGCACTTCAGTAACCCAGTGTGTTACCAAGTACCGAAGGCCTTGTTCTGAAAAGCTGCTTCTTTACCTTTATCCAGCTTCAAGTTTGCAAAACCATACAAAAACCACCAGGGAGAGGGATGCCAGACCTCTGCTTTGCACCTTGAAACGGTTCAGGGAAACTCGTGCTGATGTTCCTTTTCCATTCATTTAGCTAAGTGTTAGAGATTTCCTGGTTCCAGTATCACTTGTTTCCCTTCACAGTAACCTGTCTCTGGTTTAGTTTTCCTATCATGTACAGCAGTGTGCCACTGGAGGCTCTCTGCTTAGATCCTGGCCACATTTTGCATCTTCCTAAACTGGCACTCGATGAAATAAGACTCATTGAGTGTGCGGTTAAAGCTGAACTCCCTTTGTAGCATCCTAGAACACTGCTCTTCCTCACTGGTTCAGGTGCTGTTTAAAACTGCAGAACTGAAGGTCTTCAGTTTTGAATGGAGATGCTAAATTCCTCATGTCCTAGTGTGTAAATATTGGCAGTTTCCAAATGTATTGTTGGACCATCACTAATATGTTTTAATCTATTGGCAAACATCAGAACATTTTACAGCATGTGCACTAATGTATTACCTTGAGTACCCAGAGATGTCTGTCATCGTGCAGTTTAACATGTCCTGCTTTTACAACTGTTTCCTTTTGAAGTCCTTATTTATCTACACTTATGGAAGTATTATTTTATTGTGTACATAACAGTATTAGACCACCGAAGTCATGTTTTGTCCATGTTAGTTATTTGATGTGTTCCTGTTCTAGCTTTATAACAGTGGCTGCAAGCTGCAGATGTATTTCCCTTCCCCTAAAGCCTGCATTGAGTAATGTTTAACCTCAACGGGGCTGCTTTTTTACAGCATGAAGAGATTGACTAAGCATCTCCTGACAAATTGCTACTAAAAGTAAGAAAGCAGCCTTGTTCCTGCAAGAGGGATACTGGATAAGTGATTACAGGCTAGCTGCTCTAACCCATGGGCTGATCCTTCAGTTCCCATGAAGCACCAAGAGGCAGCTGTGCTTGCGGTGGTGAAACACAAATGGTTTCGCTGGAACTAAACACATTTGACGTTGCAGTTGCAATGAGAAGCCCTCACTGAGCCTTCTTACTCTCTTCTTTGCGCCTCTGAATGCAGTAGAACTGTTTTAGCCTTTAGAGCAGTGCCTTAGGTAAAAGGACAGATGTATTTTTGTACGATAGCCGTTTCCTCTGGCAGAGACAATCATTCTAACAGCAAAGATGCTGGGATTTTTCTCTGTGCTGATACTGTTTGTTGTCTGTTACAGCTCTGTGTAAATACATGCACACTGTTAAATAAACTTTGCAGTTGAACAATGCTTTATTTCTGTAATGCTAAATGGTACCTGACTGGGAGTCTCCAATCCCTGCCTTGCGCTGTGCTCTGGTAAATGCTCCACACTGCAGTCCCAAAACTAGCAGTAGCCTCTTTGGTGATTGTGTTTGTGTGGTTGGGAAGTTATTTGGCCTAACAAACACCTGCAGTGTTTGTGCATGCTGAGGGCATGGTCATAACTTGAGTTCTTTAACTTACTTTTCAGTGTAAGCTCTTGCTTTTCACTTGCAGCACCAACCCAGTGACCATCAAGAATACAGCAAGGTGCTGCCTTGTGTTTTCTTGCAAGGACTTTGTTTCTGGTAGGTGCTTGTGAACAAAAAGGGATGAAGAACTGGAGCAGCATCCAGTTGATGAGTATTCCTGTATTACATTACTGTGGAAACAAACCTCCACCTTACCCAGTGTTGAAGGGTAGTAAATCTGTGCATGGACAGTCCCAGCACATATGTTCTCCAAAGGGCTTTTTCACACAGGCTGTTAGTGGCAGATGGTCCAGTGTCAGTTATATATTCAAAAGAGAAGTATATGGAAATCGGTGCTTTGGTTCTCAGCTCTTTAAGGGTGCTATGGCACACCAGCTGACTCTTGACTTTGCCAGTATCAATGCATGAGACTTGATTTCAATAGCTCAGCCCCAAGAGGTGTCAACTGTGTAAGTGAAAAACCCATTTTCCAGACTGCAGGACTCCAAGCAGGCACAAGTCTCATGTTTATTAAATCATAAACCATACACTGATAGGAGAGCTATCATTTTCTGAGCTGTTTTAAAGGCAGTTCTTAAATGCATGTGCATTTGGGTGGAAATATTTCCTTCGTGTTAATGGATTAATAATTGTAGCTGGCCAGCCTCAGTTGAACAAGGATATAAAAAAGCTGAAGAGTAAAACTTTGGGGCAAACCATGCAGAAAGCAAGACTAAAATAAGTTGATAGAAACTTAACTACAGCTAAATCATACTGCCAAAACCTTGTTATATGTAAGGTGAAGCCATTCCATACATGTGCTGCAGTTTGATGCAGTAGCTAAGCTAAGGGATTCATTATTGATCTGCTATTAATGATGTGATGTGTGTAATGTATTAACGCATGTATGTGATGTACTTGTAAAAGCATCGTAATCATCATCTCTGAGCCAAGGTGCAACCTTCACATCTCTGTTTCTGAACTGCATGCCTTGTCAAACCCACTTCATTTCAGTGCCAAGCTTAAACATTCAGCGGGCAACGTTAAAACCAGCTTTGTTCTAGTTTGAGCCGCACACAGGTTATGCAGTCTGTGGATTGCTAAATCTACCTGCATTTCAAGTCTTTACACTACGAGTTGCTTAGAACCAAGGTTAGATCTTTGCAGCGCTACATGCTTTTATACTGCAGGAGCTTCAAAAGTCAAACCCAGTCTTATTGAGGCTACTTTAGTTCTTATACTGAAATGGAAAAAGCTTAAATGCTTCACATGCAAAAACCTCCTTTTGCAGGCCTGGTTGGGAAAGCAGGGCTCTAAACTCTGCTCTAGTCTGCTCCTTACAGTCGTTTGGGACACTCAGCACAGTAAATCTTTCCGTTATGGCGAACAAAGCGCTTGTTGGCCAGGCCACGGGCACACTTTGTGCATTTGAAACAGTAATCGTGCCAGGACTCATCTTCATAGTTAACCACGCTGGTTCCTCTTCCAAATCCTGCTAGGAGAGAAGACAATTATAGGACGGCGATAGTAGCTGTTCCCGTGGCTGGGATCGCCCACCAAGCAACAACTCCCATTCTAACTGCATCCCATGCTCCTGCAGTCTCACAAGCCTAAAGCAGTAGCCAAAATTGCCTTGGAACTACACTGTTGGCTGCTCAGTATTACTGCTCTTAGTAGCTTAAGACTTGTGGGGTTCATTTCTACAATAAGCTTTTCCCCTTGGATCCTGTCTCCAGGGAATGGTCAAGCTTGAAGAAAGGATGCAGAGCAAGGAGCAGTTGGGCTGAACATCCTTGGTTGCTATGGGCTCAGACTGGAATTTAAGTCTTATGGGACTGGCAGGAGAGGCAATGCCACATTTCAGGGCTGAGCTTTGTAATCCAGTAAAATACATGGGGAAGTGAAGCAGAAGTCACTTTGAGGCAATAAAACACTGCATTTGTACACATGAGGTTCCCAGAATGACATAGATGGAACTGTTCTAGATGGGGGAGTTCTGAAGGAGATAAAGTTGAGGCATGCAAAGGGTGAAGAGCTCAGTTGCCAACTCAGGTTCCATCTAGCAAGAACACATGGCTTAGATCACATGTGAATTGCTGGGATTGGGCCTCCGATATGGACCTGCTTCTGGTGTGAGCAGGTCTCTGGGGATCTCTGTTCTGCCCTCAAGTGCCCACTGCCCTCAAGCTGCATTTACTCCAACGTACCTGTGATAGGGTTCTTGCAGCCAGCACACTTCTTGGCAACACATTCCTTGTAGCATTCGACACAGTAGAACTCATCCTCTACAGCCGTGAAGCGCTTCCCACCCAGTTGCTTCTTGCAGTTGGAGCAGATAAAGCACTCGGAATGCCAAGGCTGTTCCTGGTAAGTGAGGCCTCCAGAAGTGATGGGCTAGGGGGCAAAGAGCAGGGATGGGATTAGAGGTGGTGGGGAGGAAGAGAGAGAGTGCTGGAGGGGTTCCATGAAAGTTAGTGCAGCACAATGGAGTTCTTTGGCCTGGAATCCTGCAGTCTTCCAATAGCTAAAGGGGCTACAGGGAACCTGGAGAGGGGCTTTGGACAGGCCAAGGGGAATGGCTTTAACCTGCCCGAGGGGAGACTGAGATGAGCTCTTAGGCAGAAGCTCTTCCCTGGGAGGGTGCTGAGGCGCTGGCACAGGGTGCCCAGAGGAGCTGTGGCTGCCCCATCCCTGCTCAGATAGTGCACTGCACAAGGACCATCGGCTCGCACAGGGTTACACCACCAGCTGCTTGCAGCAGTACCTCAAGGAAGGAACATCAGCACTGGTACATCTGCCTCCTGTTCTACTCTCCTAGCTTCCGAAGGACACGGGACAGCGAGTTCTGGCGTTGGCTTTGCAGAGGGGCAGGACTTACGTTCTTGCATTTGGCACAGGTCTTGGCAAACTTGTTCTCATGGCAGGAGACGCAGTAGAAGTCATCACCCTTGGGGAAGAAGCTCCCGGATCCAATCACTTTCTTGCACTGGCTGCAGGTGAAGCAGTCCTTATGCCAGACCATCTTCTTGTACTCGACGTTTTGGTCTCCTGCAAGAGGCAGAAGTAACTCATTACATGGGCCTTCAGGCTCGTGGCAAAATCCCCCCCCCCCCCCCCGCCCCATGCAGTGATGTACCCACAGGCAAGACCTGGCCATATGCATTCAACTGTAATGTGGACAAGGGATTAATTTCTGTACCTTCTGGGTTCACTTATCACATTTATCAGACAGGAGCCGGAGAAGAGACCCTGATTTACAGAGCAAAGCCTTTGGTACACACGGTTTGAGACTAAGGTGAGCTCTCCACATGAGGGTGAACTGCACTTGAATAAAATGGGCAAATGAGAGCAACGCTGAGACCCTGCCCCATGGTCTGGTGCTCCAGCCTTCCCCCTTGATGCCCACACCCCCAACTGCAGCCACCATGGTTCTGCCCTAGAGCAGTTACACCCCATCCCAGCACCAGTACCTGCAATAATAGGCTTGAAGCAGCCCTTACACTTGGGTGCATCCTCGTTGGTGGTGCAGTCGCCGCACCAAACCTTGTTGTTCTCCCTTAGCATGAAGGGCTCATCCACCAGGGACTTGTAGCACTTGACGCAGCGGAAACAAGTGTCGTGCCAGTACCGGTTCTTGAAGTGCAGCTCCTGGAAGGAGCGGACATGCAGGGAGCAATAAGCGCTTCTCACTCACTGAGCAGCCCTAAAGCCATCAGCCTCAGCACCTGAGCACATCTGCAGTCAGTGCTTGGAGCTGCAAGCAGTCAAGGGAAGGACACCGAACCAAACTCACAACAATCATCATTCACTGTGGGCGTTCGGGGTAGCAAAAGATGCTTCAAACCAACAGCTTTGAGACTGGAGGTTCTGTAAGGGTGGGCTCCCCTGGCTGTCACATTCCCTCTAGCCCAGGTGTGCGTTGTTACCGCCATAAGCATGAAGAAATAAAGGACTGGCAAACAGGCAGCGCTCAGCCCCTTGCTTCCCAAGGGCTTTGCCCAGAGATGGGGTTTCTGTGCATCCTGCACAGGCTGCGTTGCCTGCAGGGCTCTGCTCAGGATGTGGCCGAATTGAAACGAGCATTGCTGTGAGCACCCCTATTACAGAGCTCCAGTTCATGGCCCGTCAGGTCGGGGGGGGGCTCACCCGAGGACACAGAAGCTCTCAACCAGACCAGAGCCAGGAGCACAAAGAGGAGGTTCATCAGCATCCCCATCTCCTGCTCACCTTGGAGTCAGCCCCGATGGGTTTCTTGCACTCGATGCAGGTGTTGGCACAGATCTTGTCGAAGCACTTGACGCAGCAGTGCCGGCCCTCCTTCTGCACGTACTTCTTCCCCTGCAGCGAGTCGCGGCAGTAGAAGCAGTCGAAGCGCTCGGACATGGTGCCCACGGTGTAACTGCCAGGCCCTGCAGGAGGAGCCAACGTGAGCCCACGGCACTGAAACCCCGATAGCTGCTCCGGCTTCCTGGCTCTGTGCACACAGGGAGGAGCAGGAAGGTGGCTCAGCAGTGAGCGGGTGATGGTGTCAGGCTCCTCGAGAAAGCAGCACTGATGGGGCAGTTGTACCAGCTCAGTGGTTTAGGACACACAACACAGGGGAAGCACCTTGTCCCCTCCTCCTGCACCGGCACTGGGGGCTGCAGGATGTACCCCTCATATCCTCGCTCCTCTCCTCTGCTGCAGTTGCTCTTGTGCAGGTGTTTCCCCCCCCTTAACTGCATTATCACACAGGCACTATCAGCATCACCAGTGGTGGGGCCAGCTCAGAGCCTGGCACTGGCTCCACTGGACAAGGGAGTTCTGGCAGCTTCACACAGAAGCCGCCGCTGTATTCCCCCCCCCCGTTACCAAAGCCTTGCCACGCAAACCCCATACGACAAGGCATCAGCAACACAAACCCCATCAGTCCCCTTAGTAGCCGTCCTAGATACAAAATACCTGCCTACAGGGGCAGGATGGGCTCTGTGGCCAAGGAGAGCAAAGTCCCACCCTAGCCCTTCCCCATCACCTTCTGCAGAGGAAGGATACCACGTGGGCTTATTATCCTATGCGACATCAAGCGGGGATGATGATACCCAACCACTCCATAGCAAGAGCCACTCAGTTCATCACAGCCGGACCCACTGCAGCCCCGGCTGTGTAGTTCGTGTGCAGAAGTCCCCCCGGCCACGAGCACAGCAGAATAGAGCCCATGTTCCCAGCTGCAGCCCTCCAAGGTGCTGGAGGCTTGTGCAGCTCCCAGCTGGCTCCTTCCACTGGGCTTTCACCTCGAGTCAAAACCAACAGACAAGAGCAGGCCTCCCCCTCCATCCAATCAACCAGGTTGGAAAAGACCTTTAAGATCAACCATTGCCCAGCACTGCCAAGGCCACCACTAACCCATGGCGCTGAGCCATCAGGTCCCCCCTGAGCCTTCTCTTCTCCACACTGAACCCCCCAGGACCCTCAGCCGCTCCCCATCACACTTGGGCTCCAGGCCCTGCACCAGCTCCATTGCCCTTCTCTGGCCCCGCTCCAGCACCTCAATGTCTCTCCTGTAGAGCTGAGCACAGGACTCAAGGTGCAGCCTCACCAGTGCCCAGCACAGGGGCACAATCCCTGCCCTGGCCCTGCTGCCACACTGGTGCTGATCCAGGTCAGGATGCTGGGGGCTTCATGGGCACAAGCTGCTCATGTTCAGCTCCATCAGTCAGCATCCCCAGCTCCTTTTCCACTAGGACCAAGCCTCACTCAGGCCATCCCCACCAAGCCCTGGAGTTTAGGGGCTGCTTTCCTGCTTGTGGCAGAGCTCAGCAGCACAACAGCCAGGCTGCTCCAAGCCCCAGCACATCACCTTTATTAATGGGAACAGGGCATGGGGATCTTGGGGTGCACTGCTCCTGGCTGTGCCCCACAGCACAAGAAGGTCAGTGGGACCCTGTTGGGCTCCCCCTTAGCCACAGAGGATGCTGTGCTGTTACAGCACGAGGACCTGTTCACACCACTTTCCCCTACTGCCCACACCAGCAGCCCTGGATCCACCACCAACTGCACGGCCCAGCCTGGCAGCAGGAGGAATCCCCACGCTGGAATGAGGACCATTGCTGCTGCCCCCGAGGAGCAGTGCGCATCAAACCCCACAGGTCCCCACCAGCCAGAACTGAGGGTGGCTGCTGCCTTCACCTCCTTTTCAACCCAAGTCTTCTTCCCTTGGAGCTGGCAGCCCCACGAGCAGCCCTGACACAGCCACAGGCAAAGCCCAGGGTGGTGCCTGCCTGCAAGCGGATGCGTTGCTGTTATTTAGGCACCATTCTGCCCCATGGCAGGGCAAGATGCTGCTGGGGCAGGGCAAAGTGCTCCTCACGCTGTTACTTTGCACATAAATTCCAGGAGTCATCTCCCTTCCTCGTCACCCTTCCAATAGCATCAGGCCAGAACAAGCTGGAGCGCTCCTCTTCCCGAAGGCAGGACAGACTTGGAGCATCCCATCGCACAGGGCGGCTGCGGCAGAGGTGAGGACCGGGATCACATCCTGAACCCCCCAGGAGCAGGCTGGAGGCTGAGGAATTGCACTCCATGGGGAGCGAGGGCAGGCGACGGCCACGTCCTGCTGCCAGCCTGCGTCGAGGGCTGTGTTTGTGCCGGTCCAAGCCACAAACAAACAGCTGGGAAACATGGAAACTATGCAGGGCCCCAGCGAGCAGGGGGGCTTTATTTAGCAGCAATGCACTTGCACGGAGCCCAGGGCGCATGGCATCGAAACGCTCCTGCTCTCAGGTTTAGGGTTGCTCTCAACCAGAACACATAACCGAGAACATATGGCCCAGGGGGGTAACATAACCCTGTGTCCCCATGGAATGCTCCTGCGCTAACGTGAGACACATTTATCACAGCAGCCCCACGGACAAGTTAGCGCTGGGACCGGCAGCCACGCACACAGAGCTGCTGCTGCCTCCTGCCACCTCCCACACCAAAGAGCCCCTTTCATCACACACAGCCCCGGGAATTCATTTGCTTCCCGTTTTCCTAGGAGTTTTCTGCCCTCAGCAGTAGCATTCCTGAGCTAGACCCAGGAAAGGCACCCCTATGTCCTTGTCTGCGATGGGGATGCACTGAGCAGTGCCCATCCATTGAATCTCTGCTCACTCATTCCACCTCCTACAACCACCCCATGGAAACAGCTCACCCAGAGACCGGGGCACGGGGGCCACAGAAGCCACCCCAGTGGCACAGCCATGCTACAGCAATGCAGAGCTTGGAGCTCCGGGGGAGTGCACTGACCAAACCAGCCACCAAAGCCCAAAGCACCGCACCTTTGTGCTTCTGCTCACGGTGATGCACTTGAAACAAGCTCCAGGCACTGCGTGGGGCAGCTCGGCAGCTGTGTGGCTGCAGCATCACACCCAGAGCACAGCGCCTCTGGGCTGACAGCCTGGTCGAGAGGCTCCTGTTTAACCCCAGCAGAATCACGCACCCTGGGGACAGGCACTGACCCAAGCCCCGTTTCGGCTTCAACTCCGGAGCCACGGGGTGGGATTTGGGATACAGAGGGAAAGTATGGACAGACAGGAACCCCTGTGGCAGTGTTCAAGGGCAGGTTGGACACAGGGGCTTGGAGCAAGCTGCTCTAGTGGAAGGTGTCCCTGCCCGTGGCAGGGGCTGGAGCTGGAGGAGCTTTGAGGTCCCTTCCAACCCAAACCATTCCATGATCCACACACAGGGAGCTGGGCACAGGGGTGAGTGTAGCGTGTTCCCATCCTTACACAGCCTAAAGGACCCTCAACGAGACAAGAGCTCAAGAGAAACCCAGCAATGCTTCCCCAGAGAATCCCCCTTAGGCAAGGTGTCCGTGTGCCACCAGCCCTGGCAGGGTGCTCTCGAAATGCAGCTCCCTGATGGCTCTGGCTACAGCTGGAGGGTGGCCGGCCAGAGCGGTGGCCTTCTCGAGTGTCAGGGTATTTGGCACAAAGACCCATTGGAACCCAAACCCTAGCATTTACCTGACCACAGAGGGGCCCGTTTGCCACTTGTCCCCAGGGCGCACCTGCTGCTTCCCACATGCATCTCCCCACAACCCATTCCTTCCATCTTCCAAACACTGGGGTTCCATTGGCTTCCGTGCCCCCCAAGTTATCCTGACACCATCCTCTGGAGCAGTCACAGGTCAGGGCTGCCCTGCAGCAGGGCAGGCTTTGGGATGTAGTGTGAGGTGTCCCTGCGCATGGCAGCGGTTGGAACTGGATGATCTTAAGGTCCTTTCCAACCCAAACCATTCTTGATGCTATGGTTCCATGTAAAGGGTACAGACCTGAGCAGTGCCTCCCCCATGAAGCTACTGCATTGACACACAGCCCTGCCTCACCCATCGCCTCTGCTCCAGTTCCTCCCAGTTCAGCTGCATCCCATCCCACAAGGCAGCATCCCAGCGGCTCGCCTAAGAAGTGAAACCGAAGCACTCAAAGGGAGCTGAAGCAGAGCTGATAAGCAGAGCACTTAGCACCGGATATGTGTTAATGTCCCTGGGGAATGCGGCTAAATGGGGTAAACCACCAAGGAAGAACTTGGAGCAGGGATTTGAAACCAACCAAGGGAACTGGAACTTAACCTTGACTGACAATTCTGCCGCTCCATAGCCTACCCACAGCTGCATCCTGAGGGATTGCTCTTTGACTCCCCATCAGTTTCCTTTTCCCTCAGCAGACCGAGCACACGCATCCCACGCTGGCCCAGACACCTCCATCAGCTCAGGACCCGGCACCCCCTGCTCTGTCACCCCAGTTACTGTTCCTAGCACTCCTCCGTGTGTGCTTCGCTATAAATACCAGGGAATACCCTTAAAAGAAGGGTCTCCTTAATCCAAGACAGGAGGTGCCACCCCAGCCCGTGCCTCAAGGTCATTGGCACAACAAGTGTTCGCAATGCCAAAGGAAAGGAAGCAATGATGCGCTGGGAGGGCTGGCAGTGCCGCTCTCCCATTGCCAGGCTGGGGCACGAGCGGGTCTCGCTCTGTAACGAGGCTGTTGATAACATGGAAGTTATAGAGAGCAAGAAGAGCTCCAAGTGCCTCAGCCGGGTGCCAAAGCCGTTCCCAACGGCCCCATTGCCACCGTGTCCGAGCGCTTCCTCCTGCTGAGGAGGACTCAAACCCCGGCACAGCGCCGTGCCCTGCTTGGTGAGAGCAGCACTTCAAGTGCAGCATCTGCTCTGGAGACAAAGGGCCCCAGGACAAGAGGGACGTGGAGCTGCTGGAGTGAGGCCAGAGGAGGCCATGGGGATGCTGTGAGGGCTGGAGCAGCTCTGCTCTGGAGCCAGGCTGAGAGAGCTGGGCTGGGGCAGCCTGGAGAAGAGAAGGCTCCTGAAGGGGAGACCTGAGAGCAGCTCCAGTGCCTGAAGGGGCTGCAGGAAAGCTGGAGAGGGGCTTGGGACAAGGGATGTAGGGACAGGCCAAGGGGAATGGCTTTAACCTGCCCGAGGGGAGACTGAGATGAGCTCTTAGGCAGAAGCTCTTCCCTGTGAGGGTGCTGAGGCGCTGGCACAGGGTGCCCAGAGAAGCTGTGGCTGCCCCATCCCTGGCAGTGTTCAAGGCCAGGTTGGACACAGGGGCTTGGAGCAAGCTGCTCTAGTGGAAGGGGTCCCTGCCCGTGGCAGGGGTTGGAGCTGGAGGAGCTTTGAGGTCCCTTCAACCCAAACCAGGCTGGGGTTCTATGGGGACACTTATTCTGTATTACAGCACAACACTGAACCCACAGATCCTTGCCCAGAGAATGCCCCCTAAGGAAGATGAGAAGGATAGAGCTGGGACATTTTACTTAGACATGTGTCTTGCATGATGCACACCTGTGTCACACAAAGCCCAGGCAGTTCCACACCATCGTGTTCTTGCCTTGTCCTGGGAGGCTGAGTGTGAAGCTAAACAGCACATCTTGACTTTCCTCCCTAGATCTAAAGAGCCTCTATGCTCCCAACCACGTCCCAGGAGCACCACTGTCCCCTGGCTCCTGCTGTGCCCCAACTTGGCTGGATGCCCACAGGAGCTGTGTCCCAGACTCAACACCCTCTCCCCTGCAGCATCCACCCCTTGGACTACGTCTCATGTGATGTGATGGCCCTGTACAAGGCACCTTGTGCTGTAGGATTGTAAATGCATGCTGGACACACACACACACACACACAGGGTTAGCTTCTCGGAATCAGATAAGCTGCTATGAACCCCCCAAGAGCTTTCCATTGTCTGCAATTGGCAGGCTAGAGGAGATTAGGCAGGGCTGGAGGACACAACACACCCTGTGCCATGGGGATGCCATAGAGATCCCAATCAGCGTTACTGGGAAGGAAAAGTGAACGCTTTCCTATTTGTGGGGAGGGTCAGACTGTTTCATGTACGAGACAAAGGGGAGCAAGCCCAACCTTCCTGCCAGAGCAGGACAAAGCACTTGGGTTCACACCCTGGACTTCCGCATGGCCCCCTTTGCGATGGGTTTCCCCTCCTCACTGCTGTAGCAAGCTTGCTGCAAGGAGCAGCATCACCCCCATTTTCACCTATAGCCTTCCTCAAAGACCAGCTGAGCCCCAGCAGTGAATACAAAAGCACTTAATACCTAATGCACTTTACAGAATAGATGGGGCCACCACCACCACCGTGCTCCCAGCACCAGTCCCCACACTGGTTAGAAGCCCATTTGCCATCACTTGGTAAAGCTGAAATTGCCGAGGCTGGAGCCTGCATTCAAGCTCTTTCTCTGTTAGCAAAACCTTCCTGCCCATGCAGCAGGGCTCCAGGGTGTTCCCCCACATCCCCTTTACCTGTGTGCCTGTGGAAAGCCATGATGAGGAGCCCAAAGTCACCAGCAGCCCCTTAGGTATCAGAGTTCCCAGTCTCTTGGGCTGATGAGGAGCTGCCCCCTTTGATAACATACATGTAAAGGGAGGCTATTAATATGGACGGGACTCCTAGCAGATGTCCACTCCCCTCCACAGAGATCACAACCTTAATCCCCCTTGAAAATTCTTACCATTTTAGGTGATCCAAGGGAGAAGAATAGGACCCAGAGACCTCTAGGTCTCTGTAGGCCACATGTAAATACCTGCCCAGCTACTCAGCACCCAAATTAGTCCCAAAGGCAGAGTGCGCCTGAGGAACCTGACCCCACGCTAGTACTATTTGGCCTTGGCTTTAGAGCTAGATTGTGTCTCAAAACAGTCCTGAGCTGAATTACAGACCCAATGTTAGGTCTGTACTGCTGAAGGGAAGGGGTGGATCACAGCCCCATGGGAGCTGGAAGGGCTGCAGTCCAGAAAGCAGAGTGTGGGTTGTACCCCTGGGGATGCAGCTGGCAGCCCATAGGGGTACCAGCAGATACGGTCATGGATGGGTTCAATGTGCTCTCAATGCAAGAGTCACGCTGAAGTTTTACTGCCACTGAAAGTACCATCCCTGCTCCTCCGTCAGCTTTTCCCCTAAGGAAGCACAAGGCATCGGTGGTACGAAGTGAGCAATTGGAAAGCAGGGTTTCATGGTTAAGGATGCTCTCCAACATCTAACGCTACAGAAGGGCTCATTCCCCAGCACGTGGCTCATAGAGGACACTAGCTGGTGCCTCCCAAGTGCCCACAGACCTCCCTGGAAGACCCCAGCTCCAACCCACCCATCTACCTCCACCGGGTTCAGGCCAGGAGCCCTGCTTGAGGGCTCCCTTGGGGATGCAGCAGCTCCGGGTTATGCAATTGGAGGCGAGGCGCGCTCAGGGCCGGGGGCCAGGGACACCCAGCTGCTAATCCCGCCTCGACACTGACTCACTGCACGGCCGTGGGAAAGGCACTCACCTCCCTCACAGCCACTGGGAAGAGCCAATGTTTACCATTCCTCCCAGCCAGCCCATTGCAGTGGGGTCCGGCCTCCGAGCATCAACCGGCATCTCCATCCCTGCGACAGCCAGGAACCCGGAGCATCATCCCTTCCCATCACTGGTCCTAGGAGCTCCAGCCGCAGCACTGGGCTTGGTGATGCTCTGGGCCTCCACACCCACCATAGGGCCCCCAGGTGTCACACACACAACGTCAGCATCTCCACCATGGCTTGGAGAAAGCCATGCTTGACAGCATGGATCCACTCGGAGAGCGGATTGAGGCTGGGAAGCGTGCTAAGTTACCAGCGCACTGAAACACTTTGGCTAGGAAAAACCCAGCGTTGCTCTGCCCCAGCTCATCTATAAACTCAGGCAAATTGTTTGCATAATTCAGTTGGTAACAGGAACCCTCACAACTGGTGTTTTCCTGTGCTAATCTCAGTGTAGCATTCAGACATGAGTTCATTTTTGGCAACGCACGCAGCGCTTGCACCAGCACCCGTTCTCATTCCTTTCCAGTTCCCTACACAAAGCTCTGGCACCCTTCCCACCCTCAGTCACTTCCTACTTCCCCCAGAACACCCTCGCGTTTCCATTAGAAACAGTCACCTTTGCTCCCCATCCCAAAAGGCGGAATAGCTCTGCTGTGCCATGGCGACAGCTGCCACATCCCACCAGTCCCCGTCCAGCAGTGGTTTGGCAGCACTGCCGAGGCATGTGGAGAGGAGGGATGGACACTTGGCCGTCAAAGCCTTTCATGTGCACAAATGCACGCGGGTTTGCAGCACGGGACAGAGAAAGTGTGGCCAAAAGCAGGAGGAAGACTCAGCCGTGCTGATGCCCATGAAGCTGCACCATGGATTGACATGGGAAGCACAGCGTGGCACAGCTCACTGGTGATTTCCCAGTGCAGTCTGTAGTAAAAAGGCTGTTTTGTTTGAATCTGTGGTCTCCTGGGCCAGCACAGCAGGAATGGGCTGAGGAATGACTGAGAGGATGCGGCTGCTCTTGGGTTCTTGGCTGGTTTTAGCTGCATGAGCTTGGGCAATTCCCGTCTCCTTCCCAAGCCCCTCTTTGTCCACACAAGCCAAGTGACAGCAAGGTAAAGCACAGGTGCCAAGGAGGGACATGGTTGCCTCGTGAGCAAGCTGCTCTAGTGGAAGCTGTCCTTGCCCATGGTAGGGGTTGGAACTGGAGGAGCTTTGAGGTCCCTTCCAACCCAAACCATCCTGAGTCCATGAAACAAAGGGTGCCAGCCCTGGCTGAGCCCTTCTCTGCTACGCAGGCACCACGTACCCACAGCTCCCATAACAGTGAGTGCTGCAGACATGTTGAGTGCACAGCAGAAACACAGGCTTGGGGTTTCATGCCTTTGAACCTGCCCTGTAGGTTCTGAGCACTCCAGGGAGCAGGTCTGGACACCCTGAGCCCACCACAGGGGTCTGACTGTGGAGCAGCGTGGTTGGGCCATCGTGTCATCCGCTCGGATAGACAAATGATTCACATTGTGCTTTCCAGAGTATTTTCTTGCCCCAACAATCCTGCCAGAAAAGGCCTGGGAGTCTCAGCTTGCTCACACATCCTGCTGTCACTCAAGGGGCAGAAAGTCCTAAATAGAGCCGATATAACCCAGGCATTGATGCGCTATTAGTCACCGTCATCAAAGAAAGCAGCAGTAAACAGGAGCAGGAGGGGAGCACCTGCCCAGCTCTTGGGGTAACGCTGTGCCTCCTGCTCAGCAAAGCCCAGTAACACACAACGGCCATTCCCTGAATGGGGAACGGTTTATGGGCTGCCCATTACACAAAGCCCTGTGTTACTGCTTCCCACCTCGCCACGCTCTTATTCTGGCTGGAGGCTGCTGCTGCCGTAGCACAGGGCTGTGATTTGCAGCATGGATGCGGTTACACCTCCACATACAGATGCTCACCGCTTCTTTCTTTCCAAGTAACAGCACAGATGATGCTTTTTATGTATTGAGTTTTAACTCGACATCTATCTTGGGTTGCATGTGATGTTCTCCCACAGAGAGCAGCTGAACGCAGACCCCAGTTGCATTTCCCTTGGCTCTTCTGAGGCAGAAGCTGAACAAGATGAACTTTTCTCCTTTTTATAACGTAAAGGCAGAGTTTGCAGGAAGCCAACCAAGAAGCAGCTGGGGTAAGAGGAGAGAGGACACCAGGGCCTTTCAAACAGGGTTTGGTTCAAAACTGGATGGTTTCTGTTTGAAGTATCACAAAACTGCTTCACAGGACTCAGCCCCGGCTCTGTTCTCCTGCTCTGCACACAGGGATGAGCCTCTGCACCCCTGCAGCATCCTGCAGGCACTCACATGAACCCAAGGCAGAGATCCCCTGCTTCGCATTGCACTTGATGATCTTAAAGGTCATTTCCAACCGATGCTTCACACAGGATGTACCCACATCCAGAGCAGAACCAGCAAGGACATCACTGCAGTGACAGAGGGGACAAACGGCTGCCATCGGGCAACACAACAGTCTCAGAGGGATGCTGGGGAAGGAAACGGGCAGCACCTGGCAAAGGCACATAAGGTGCTTTCCATACTTCCCTGTTTCCACAGCTGGGGCACATCTGTGTGCTGAGGGATGAAGGGGAAGCTTTAGGATCAGCTCTGGAGGCAGGGATAGAAGAACTGGGAATGGATTTATAAGGAAGCAGACACAAGCTGTGTGGCCCTTCATGAACTCGGGTATAGCAGGAGTAGACACAAAAGAGGGGAAATAAAGCAGGATAAGAAGAGACAAGGATGAGGGTATAGAAAGGGACAGGAAAGGATGGCCAAGACAGACCCGAGCTGGAAATAAAGACACCTGGAAAGCAGCAAACCGGGAAGAGATCCTAACAGGGCTGTTCCCATCTGCCTCCATCCCCAGGCTGGCGCGTTCCCAGCACTATTCCCAAGGCAGCTCCCGGTTTATTCCCCAGCTGCCACCCGTACAACTGGCTCCTCTTCCCATCACCTGCCGAGGTGGCAGAGCCCTGCCTGTGCTGACAGCAGTGATACAAAGGCCCCGGGGACCAGCGGTGCACAAACCAAGAGCTGCTTTCTAGACCCAAGGCTTTGCTGAGGTCCTGGCCCCGCTCCTGCCTGTGTCGGGGTGGGGAACAGGAGCCGCACAGGCACCGTGTAGATAGAGACAGGGCTGGCTTTGAATCCACAGCACAAGGAAGTCCGTTTGCTCCTGCCCCTGCTCCCTCCTCCCTGCGGCTCTTTGCTGTACTACAGATAAGATGCCAAGACTGTATCTTCCCGCAGGAAGGATGCTGAGTGCCTGCTGCGGTCCCTGCCATCGCGTTTGGACCTTCAGTACAAGCTCAGAAAGGGACAGACCCAAAAGGTTGAAGATTTCTGCTAAAATCTCTTAGAAGGACAAATGTATTCGTCTGAAATGCACTGGGTTAAACCTGGGCCACGCTTCCAGCTCTGCCTCCCGCATCCTTGTGCCTTGGCTCACTGCGCAGTGGATTGGGAGGCTCTGCAGCCTGCCCACAGCACCCTGATGCGAACTGCACAGGTCTGAATGCGCCTGGACACCAGCCAGTCCTAAGGGGACACTCAGGCTCCCTTTCTCTTCTAGGGAGAAAGATCCACACTGCACTGCCAAGACCGGTCTGATTCAGATGCTGTGTAAGAGCATCACGCCCATAACTGGGTTAAAAAGCCTCCAAGCACAGCCCTCACCTCTTCCTCCCCTGCAGCCTTACGGCTGCATCACACACACATCCACCCAGCAGAGCAAAGCAGCCTCGGTGCATCACAGCCAGATGTGAAGTCCCCCTCAGAGGTCATCTGCCAGGAGAAGAGCAGAAATGAGCTGGTTCTTGCCCGCTCAAGGGTTTGCCAGTCACAGCTCAGCCCTGGCTTCAGAGGGGAGGAAAGCAGCTGAAGTCCCTGTCAAACAAACACCACGCTGATCCCAGGCAGGCAGCACGGCAGCCTTTCCCAAGACACATGAGGTCTGAACACTCACAGCACTACAATCCCACCATGCCCACACAATAAAGGCTCCTGTCAGGGCTTCACCAAGTTGTGAGTGAGCCAGCACTGGAATGATGTGATGTGTTTCCCAGCCTCCACTACACTCCTCATTGCTTTC